TTATTCAAAGCGAGATACCAGAATTATTTCTTTTTGTAAATCCATACCAAACATAATCTAACAGTTGCTTAAAGGAAAAAAAAAAGAAATATAGTTCTTTTAAAAAAGTTTCATACTCGAAAATGACATTGAACCTTGCATTTTTAAATATTCAGAAATGTCTTTATTTAATAAAATAAATTCTTGTGACGAACAGTAACGGGATTATTTTTTAAATTCGACTGGAAAAATAATTTAAAAAAAATATTAAGTCTAGATTTTTGTTTCGGTCGAATCTGAAGGAAAATAACGCGTTTAAATTATGCAAGCACGAAATCTCAAAAATATTTTTTGAGATATTGAATTGTTTTTGGCAAAATGCGGACCGAATTTTCCGTATATTCACATATGATATTTCATAAGTTTTTTTCATTGAAATAATATCTTAGGGATTTCTTTTTATATAACTAAAAACTTTCGACGAACACCCTTCTCAAATTAAAAAGTACACACGCGATATCGAAAGAGGAAATGAAACACAGAAAAGAATAAAAACATACTCAAAGTTTTTTTTTTTAAGAAAATAACATATAAAGAAAAAAATAATTCACTAATGAATAAGACCATAAAATTTCCTTTGTATCGAACAGACCCTTGATTATTGGCAAATATTTTAAAACAGGGGTCGCAATTTTTTGCTTTCATTGTGGAAAAAGTATCCATTTTAAAAGGAACCCAACGGGCTTATGGGTGGTTTACTGATATACATTTTATTATTTAAAAATATTTATTTATCGCGATACAGAAATTAACATGTTTCGGAACTAAAAACTAGACTTTAAATTAAAATTAAAGTTTTTGTTCCATTCTCAAGCAATGTTGAATAACTTTTGAAAAAATGATATACGTTTTTTAAGCTAAATAGTATTATATAGTTTAAGTTGGGAAAAGGGATTACAAAATTTTATAAGGGTGTTACCTTTTCTGACGAATGAGGATACAAATCTAATTTAAGATCGCAAAGTGTAAACATATGTCAAAGGTTAGGTGTGGGTTTTTAATTTCTACCTGTCAATACTGACTTCCTTATATATGAACGTATCATTCTGTTTGTTTTTTTTTATTTATTTAGAGTATCCCGATTCGTCAAAAAATGGCAACACACTTTTAAAATTTTGTAATCCCTGTCCTCCACCCCCACCAACTTAAACTATATAATACTATTTAGTTTAAAAAAAAAAAAAAAAAAAAAAAAGAGTACTTTCGGCATTAGCACAATATCATCATCAGGGTATTGTTTATTTCAATATAAATATTGTAGTGTTCACCATTTTCAATGACAAAATTGTTGTGTTCATCTGAAAGTTGCTTTTTTTTTTTTTTACTTGTGAAGTGAAGAACACTGAGGTGAGTACTGTGTGATTGGCTTGAGTAAAGGGAGGTAACTAGGTTATGGTGTTGTCGAGAGTTGTACAAACCTCAATATTTTAAACTATCTACTGTAAACATTTTAAAACATTTGGGGACTATTCATAATTAATTTTATTAAGCTTTGGTTTCAATTTTTTTAATATAGATAGCTTCAAGAATTTCTAGATTTTTGTTGAAAATACATCTATACTTTTCCATGAAAATAATAAACAAACTTTTAGATGAACAGAGAAATTTTTCAAAGGCAAAATTGCTATCATAATCGAATGACTTTAGAACGTCCTTTTAACAGTAAAAATCACTTTTATTTCCCAAGTACTTTCCATCTCCTTCTCCATTATCAGGGGAACAACTAGTAAGGCAAAAATTATTTTTAGCTATCCATTACTGATTTTTTTTCTTTTTGCGTTTAAATGCAATGGCTGACAGTTTTGCTTTAGCGTTCATTAGAACGTGAAAAAATATCCACTATGGAATTTTATCTTTTATGTTGGAATTTCATTGTCAGGCGCGCATTAAAACGTGAAAACTGTTTATTTTATAGGCATTTTAGCACATTATTACAGTATTCGTAGCTGATTCTTTTCAGTGTCGAATTTATTTTTTTAAATGCAGATTGCTTCGAGGATCTGTAGTTTTAATTTGTTATTTTTTCTTGCTGTAGGATAGTTGTGCTATCAATCAGTACTTTTCTGTACTATGAATGTGGGCAGAAATGTTTGTGTAAATGTCTCGCAATGGACGAATGGTCAGACATGTGAAACGTCTTGATAATATAGTTGTTGTATATCCAACATATATATTTGTTTTTCTGTCGGAGATTTATTGAATTTCGAAACGAACCCTTTATTTTGGAAGATTATTCTAGTTCCACGTGTTTCGGAAGTCTTATTCATTTACCTTTAACTCAACTCTCCAAATATTTTTCTGTGTATTACAATCAAATGGGGTAAGAAATGCACTGTTTTATTTCCCCAAGTACTTTCCATCTCTTTCTGAGATCATCATCATGGGTGCAACTGGTAAGACAATGTGTAACTATTTATTATTGAATGTTCTTTTTGCGTTCAAATGCAACGGCTGACAGTTATGCTTTAGCGTTTATTAGAACGTGAAAAATGATCTATTATGGATTTTTTATGTTTGAATGTCATGGTGAAGCGCATATTAAGCGTGAAAACTGTTCTTTTATAGGCATTTTAGAACATTATTACAGTATTCGTAGCTGATTCTTTTCAGTGCCGGCTTCAAATTATTAATGTAGATTGATTCGAGGATCTGTAGTTTTAAATTGTTATTTTCTTGGTGTAGGACAGTTGAGTTATCAATCAGCATTTTTCTGTCAACTAACTAAAAACCTTAACCAATTAATTACACCATACATACCTAACAAATAGAGCATTAAATCAACACTTGAACTTATACAAATATTAAAAACCGAAAAACCTAATGAAACCATAGCATCACTTGATGCTGAAAATCTGTTCACTAACGTTCCATTCAGAGAGACCATTGATTATTATTAACGATATAATAATTCATCTCTGCTCCGATTAAAAATTAAACCTAAAATACTAAGAAAATTACTTTTAATCTGCACCGCCGAAGTCCCATTCTATGGTCACAGAAATAATGTATATATGCAACGTGATGGCGGTTCTATGGGTTCAGTTCTGGGTCCAACTTTCAGCAGCTTCTACATAACCAACCTAGAAAATAATATATTTAGCACCACCAAAACATCTTCCAACCACTTAAAATTATATCCTTTTTTACTTAAAAACATAAAAGTAATAATGGAACTCAAAAAAAAAACTTTCAGAAACTGTCCTCAAGTTCACATACGAACTTAACAAAAACAACAAAAACACTTTCCTTGACATTTTAATAGACACAAATAACAGATTTACTACTGCCCCATATATATATCTATACTGAACTAAAAAATATTAAGCATCCTTATTAATAACGATCTCCCAAACCACAGTGTAGATGAACAAGAAAGAACTTGGGAATTAAAAGTGATTTTTACTGTTACTGTGCCTTTCTTTCATCATTTCATTGTAACACATGGAAAAATATCCGTGAATATGAGCGGATTATGATAAAAATAAGCAGACATAATATTTGTAATTTATTTAATCAGACATGCCTAAAAGAGAATGTGCTGCCTAAATAGACAACATTATATATATATATATATATATATATTAGTGTGTGTGTGTGTGTGTGTGTATATCTGTGTTGTATTGTGTCAGAGATGTTATTGTAGATTATTTGTTTTCAATAAAATGACGCTCACGAAACTATTAGAGGATTTTCATTATACGAACTGAAAACAAGAATCTCACCTGATAGACAAAAATATTGATTTGAAAGAACGCGTTAGAAACACCCATAAAAATAATTAATTATTTGAATAATTACAAAAGCAAACGTTGTAACTGAATAAATTAGTCGAGTTGATGTTCTCACCGTTTTACCTTCCGGCTATCTTCAGGTGTCTGTCTTAGTTCATAACCTTTTGCTAATTTTAAGCTGAACACTTTATTCAGTGTACGTAGATTGATTATTCTCATTTAAATTTTCCATGCTTATGGGATATCAGTTAATTCTAAGTTAATTTGTGCTTTTCATATAATTTGATTGTCTCATCCACTGAATGCGATTGGCGAACTACGATGTGGTTTGATAGCAAATGGTCTCGCTAGATCAATAATGACTGAATAAGAGAGTTTGATCGACACAGTGCTCCATACTTTCAGCCTTGTGCCACATCTAAGATACGCTTAGAAAATCATTATAGGAACCTTCTGATTGATTCGTTTTCTACGGTTTATCAACCCTTTTACAGGTCATTTAAACCAAGAGAATATTTTTAGATTGTAAGAATTTCTTTTTTTTAGGAGATAATAATGCTTTAGTGATGCAAAAGGGAGGCACGGTGAAGTAACGGATTGAGGAATTGGAGAGCCGAGTTCGAATTCCAGTCGAATCCATTACATTCACTTACATGCTAATACTCTTGGGAAAGGTATGAATCTTCTCCTCCCCCCACCAGCTATGGGTAAATAGAATAACAGAGCGGGTTCTATAGCGTTGGATGGCAACTGATCTACCGAAGAAAGAAATGGCAAACTACTGCGGGAAAAAATCTGCCTCGTCAGTTTTGTATCGAAAGATACATGATCGCCTAACCGTGTATCCCACAGGGTGCATAACTGACTGACGTGCTAATACCCTTGGGAAAGGTATGAATCCTCTTCTCACCCAGCTATGGGTAAATAGCAAGACAGACCGGGTTCTATAGATTTGGATGGCAACTGGTCTACCACGGAAAGTAATGGCAACCTACTGCTGGGAAAAAATCTGCCTCGTCAGTCATGTATCGAAAGATACATGATCGCCTAAGCGTGTATCCCGCATGGTGCATAACTGACTGGCCGATGCAAATCTTACTAATTAACCGATAGCTGGATGAGACTAAGTGGATTCATACCTTTCCCAATAAGTGAACCAAACCGGAATTGGAACACGGCTCTCCGACTGACAATTCCAAGCCATTATCCATTACACATACGCATCGATGCTTACAAAACCTGGTACTTCCAAGCGGTCACCTATCTAGGTTTTGATCAGGCTCGACATAGCTTAACTTCGGTGATCGTACGGGAACAGGTATTTCAACGTGATGCCCACTGAATCAAACTATCCAACTTTTGCACTACCCGTAGATCTCCTTGCTGGCGAGGCTTAGAATCCCATGCAGAAGGATAATGGTAGCCATTTCCTTCCAAGGAAACTTTTGGCATTCATTGACTGAGCACTCAGTTCTGTTTTCGGTTGAAGCTTATAAAATCTCTCTCTTAAAACATTCTTTTAGGAAAACATTTGTCAAGTCCAGTAGATGTTATCACTCTTTCCAGTATTGATGGTTGTTTCCTTGCTAATATTTCATTTGAAGTCGTGTGGAATGTCAGCATCTTGATTATGTCATTATTTTCTCTTCTAGTTACATCTGTTATCCATTTTAGTTGTTGCTGCTGTTGGTAGTCCTCAACTGATGTGGTTTAGGATTGCACAGTTCTTTGTGATTCTGTAGCGCCAGTCCACAATGTTAAAAGAAGGATGATTTTTGCCAAGATGCTCAGGTTTTCCTCGCTCAAAACTTTTTTTTTTCACTGTTGATCTCAGGAAGCGGTTGTATACAACTGCCAGTTCAGATATTTCTGAACGGGTTTGGGGCTATGCCTAACATCCACATGAAAGTCTCGATCTGACGAGGCTATTTAAGAACATGACTCGAGTTTTATGATTGACGTTTTGTTATCGTAGCAATTTGTGGTGTTGGGAGAAACTAATTCTGGCACAGCCTATTTTAAGTTCAATTGGATGCTTACAAACTCTGATATAAACCGAACCTCGCTCAACCTTTTTGATTACAACACAAACCGAACCTCGTTCTAAACAAACCGGACCTCGTTCTATCTTTTTGAGCCCAGTGCAAACCGGACCTCGTTCTATCTTTTTGAGCCCAGTGCAAACCGGACCTCGTTCTATCTTTTGGGCCCAGTGCAAACCGAACCTCGTTCTATCTTTTTGAGCCCAGTGCAAACCGGACCTCGTTCTATCTTTTTGAGCCCAGTGCAAACCGGACCTCGTTCTATCTTTTTGGGCCCAGTGCAAACCGGACCTCGTTCTATCTTTTTGGGCCCAGTGCAAACCGGACCTCGTTCTATCTTTTTGGGCCCAGTGCAAACCGGACCTCGTTCTATCTTTTTGGGCCCAGTGCAAACCGGATCACGTTCTATCTTTTTGAGCCCAGTGCAAACCGGACCTCGTTCTATCTTTTTGAGCCCAGTGCAAACCGGACCTCGTTCTATCTTTCTGAACCCAGTGCAAACCAGACCTGTGTCGTCTCTTTTTGTATCCTGAGTAGACTGATTTACATTCGAATAAAAAAAAAAGATAGATATACCTTCAGATCTGTGTGAAGAAGGCCAACATATCAAACCTTGTCGAACGCCTTTGAGATATTTAGGAAAACAATCCGAGCGTCGCTGTTCTTATCTAAACCTTGGTAGACAAATTCTGTGATGGCCGTTAACATATGGACTTGGAGAAACGGAAACTATATTGTTTATCCTAAAGGAGGTCTTGTGAAGCAATATGCCTAACCAATTCGTCGTTGATTAGAGCGTTTAGTACTTTGCCAAAAAGAGATAAAAGACTAATAGGACGTTAATTCGAGGGGTCAGATGTTTCCCGAGTGTTCTTAAAGATAGGAATTAGGGAGGAAAACTTCCAACAAGCTAGAAAGTAAGAAGTTATAAAGTCTGGAGGGAACAGAAGCATATTTCTTTAAGACAAATGCATGGACGCCGTTGACTCTGCAAGTCTTGTGGGGTGTAGTTTAGAAACGATAGCAGAAAACATGAACGTAGTTATGTACATATCACTCAGTAGAGACTGTTCTAGGGTGTGGGGAATGAGGCAGAGACACTCCAGATGAGTCGAGAGTGGAGTTGCAAAATTATTCGACTAAAGCGCCCAGCTTTATCTGCAGTAGATGACAACACTTTCATTCTGATTGAAAAGAGGAGAGATTGAGGATTTGCTCTTCTTCAGTACACGCTCGCAGAGCCGCCAGTAATCTAGAAACAAACTCGTGAGAGGCTATACGATGTCTCATTCTATCAGTGAATAGTGACTTTGCCTCTTTGAGGACACGCTTACATTATTTATTTACAGAGTGGCATTAGCTGCTTCCATACTGGAAACATTTGTCACGCATTAACCGTTATTGTCGGTTGGAGATTATAAATTACTTTTCAAGTTCACTGAATGTTATAGCTCTTTCTTATAATGATGGGAATTTCCTTCCTAATCTTTTGTTTATGGTAGTGTAGAAAGTTAACATCACGATTATATCATTATTTTTCTCTTATAGTTAAATATGGTTTTTGTTATTTGGTAAAACTCCTTTTGAGTTTGAGTTTGTAGCGTCAGTCGATAAGCTCTGATGAAGGATCGCTTCTTTAAGATTTATTCGTTTCAAGCATTATAGCGAAATCTAAGTAACAACGACTCAATACGTATGAGCCCAAAGTTTGAAAGATATAGCAAGACTTTTGGTACCGCATAAAAAAATGAGGTACCCTGGCGCCTTAAACGTGCCAAATGTTCGATTTCAGGTAACGACTGGAATTTTCAATCCTGATTATCTAGGTAGAAAAAAAAAAACATGTTACCTATAATAGTAATTAGAAATGTGCAGGTAATAAGATGAATATCGTCGCAGAAAGTGAAATCAGATATCGGTGTTCAAATTCCGGGCTTGTCTGATGTCTTCATATTCACACAAATACTATTGGGAAAGTTTTCTTCTCTCCTCATATATGGGTTAAATAGTAGAGTAGACTGATCTCTTTAGTCTTGGGTAACAGCCGGCCTAATAGAAAGAAAACTCTGAATTCCAAACCGTGAAGAAGACATCAGTAAACCACTTCACTATTCTTTACCATCTTTAATAGGGGTGGTAGCACCTGTTAGGGTTCCAGCTCTGGGCCGAAGAACTGGATCGGCCAAAATATTGCTCACACTATCAATTACATACACGAAGAAAACTTTCCATTCTCAGGACAACTTTTAGGGAATTATTTTTTTGCGACACGGGATATCACGAGTAGAAGTTATGAAACAAATACGTCATAATCTTATGTACGAATTATTGATAGATCCAGCAGTAAGGCCTCTGATCAGGAGAGTGGAGGTTGTGTGGAGCATGGAACCACCTTTTAATTGCTGTTGCTCCCAGGTCCACCCTGACCCGGGGTGGTATCACTTATTAGGGTCTTAACTAAGGGAAAATAGTGACCACCTTAAACAAAACCCTATGAAAGTATAAAAATACGCTTATATAAAACCATTACCAAAAATACATTTTTATATAAGAACATTATCAGCAATACATAATTATAATACAATGACCAACGATACATTTTATAGCAAAATAACAAACAATGCATTTTATCTGTACTTGACGGCATATAATTGCATTTTTAATATATTTAGTTGAAGCCATACGTTCGAAATATTTAGATTTCGGCATTAAATAACCCATAGAGGTTGATATGTCGTTAAGCATATCAACCAACCAACAATACATATTTATAGTAAAATTATCAACAATACATATTTATAACAAAATGACCTACAATATATTTTATCTTTAGTTGAAGCCATAAAACTACGTTCAAAATATTTAGATTTCAGTATTAAATAAACCATAGAGGTTGATATGTCGTTAAACAAAATCAACCAACCATAATTAATAAAAAGAAGAATCTCTGGAGGGTTACTCACAACGTGAAGATACATAGCATTAAAAATGATAATGGTTAAATTAGCGGTTTCTGTACAAGAAACATTCGTTGGTTGAATAGTTTTTTTATAAGCATTTCACCCCCAAGCAAGGCGGGATGCCACTAGCACGCAAGGGGTTACAGAGAGTAGGAGCGAGAGTAAAGAGGAGTGATAGAGGAAAGGATGAAGAGAAGGACAGGGAATAGATCAAGGCATCTGGAGATGTCGATTGACATTACATTTGAATGGTTGGAGATTATAGCTATCAGGGAAACAAGTAATAGGAAGAGAATTCCACAGACGGGAGGTACGAGATATGAAGCTATTGGAGTAGAAGAGACGGCCATATTTAACTGTTTCGACAATGAAAGCGTGGGATCGAGATACCGGTCTAGTAGCACGTTTAAATTAATACAGTCTGGGAATTAGCGAAGTAGATCGTCGGAGCAGTTACCGTGAAAGTAGTTGTAGAATAGAGAGAACAACTGTAGACGAGATGCCAGACTAGGGCCAATAACATTGCATATCCGTCTCTGGATTTTAATGTAATTTCGGTTAAAATTTAAATCTTTTTCTTCAAACTGTTTCTTAGGTAATTCGACATTTCAAGTCCTCTAAGTACTATCCCACTTTCTCGTAGTTTTAGAACTTTTCCTTACGAATATGTTTTTGGTAGTGCGGAAAGTTAATATCGTGATTATATCATTGTTTTCTCAGTTATATTTGCTACCCGTATTTGTTGTTGATGTTGTTTGAAGTGTTCAAGTGATGTGGTCTTTGTCATTTGATAAAGATCTCTTTGATTTTTAGCACCACTCCATGGGAATCGATAAAGGATTGTTTAAGATTATTGGATTTATTCATTTCAAGACATTATGACAACATATAAGTAATGACGACTCAATACATTTGAACCCAAATTTAAAAACAAAAGAAAAGAAAAAAAAAATCAAGACATTTGGTTTCACACAAAAAAAGAGATTTTTTCCAGCAAAAGGTTTTGTTTGAGTGATTTCTTTCTCAGGTCTTAAGAAAAACATTTTAAACGCTTAAAATGTTGATTTCAAAACGGAAAACCCCAGAATAATTGATTTGCTTTTTTACGACTTATCAACCCTTTGTAATTTATTTAAAGAAGAAACATATTTTGGATTATAAGAATAATTACTTGCGAGTGAACATTCCATTGACAATTAAGAAAAAATAATGATTTTCCAATATACAAGTACTATTTAACACATGGATGGGGGGTCAGATGGTATCTAATGTAGAGAGACATTATCAAGATGTACCTTATCTTTAGTCAAACAAGGCTTCGGTGTA